GGAATTTCCTGTATGAATTCATGCCTACCTTTATTATAATTTTTCATATGATTATTTGTAACTGGGAATCTTCCTATAGAAGATTCCCAGTTATGGTACGATCTCGTGGGAAATTATAATGATAGAGTATTAAAATAAATATTACATCATAGATAATAGCTAATACATACCACATTTGTTATTACAGAGACAATTATCATTGGAATGTGAAAAATTGAAGCGTTTTCTCAAACGGGATTATGAACAACATTTCCATATTACTCCACAAGAAACGACATTCCATGATACTTGCATTAATCATTGTCTTTTATATGCATTCGGACAGTGTGACAAACCCCATACTCAAACTTGTAATGACTGTTATACTTTTTTTCAATTTTTTGATATGTTATGTAATAATATTAGTGTTTCAATTTACGAAGAGTTGGATGATTTGTACGATCATTTGCTCTATTACTTGGCTCATCAGACAAGAAAGGCGTATTTAAACGCTCAATTGAATGCAAACTTGTTAAATCTGAATGAAAAAACCACTTTAATATTAGTCGACTACAAAATGAAAATACTACCTAAAACAGCACATGAAACTAAACAAGATTGGTTTGGTAAAAAAGGCTGGTCTCTTCACTCAGTCCTTGTATATACTACACAATCCAACTCAACAAAATTATGAATTCAAGCATTTGATCATTGGTCCATGGATTCACGTCAAGATTCGTGGTTCACAGCATTTTCACTTCATGCAGTAATTGAAACATTAGATCCAAAACCTGAATCAGTGATAATAATGTCAGATAACGGGGGTTATTACTATAATGCTGATCTAATGATGATAATGGGATATTGGCCAGAATGGTATGGAATTAATGTAAGCAGATGGATCTTTTTAGAAGCAGGAGAAGCAAAAACTACAATCGATTCTTATCATGCACAGGTAAGATGACTGCTAGTAAATTATTCATATTACCTACACTCGTATATTGACTTTTATTTATTTTTTTTTTATTACAACGAATCAGATATCACATGCAATCAATCTATATATTCATTTAGGCTTTGATGTAACAGTAGGACAGGATATTGAGAATGCGATCAAAGGAATTAAAGGGACTTCTGTTGCAAATCTGAATCCTATTCAGGACAGAGGTAGTGGTAATAATACATTACCTGGAAATTCTAACTGGTTTGAGTGGCAATGGCCAACAATGGGCGAATTTTCTGGATGTATTAAAGCACGGAATATTCCTGGTATAGGTGAATGGAAAATTTTTACTATAGCAGAATTAGATAAATTTCGCAAAAAAGACATTCATAAG